TTTTAATTTTACTAAAAAAAGTATTCAGTAAAATTCTCCAGTAAAAAATAATACGAATTTATAAAAACAATTAATCGAATCATACCCCCTACCAAAAACAATATAGGTTAATAAAATCGTTTATATTAAATTGCAGCTTCGATCATTTGATCATTTTTGAGATGAAATTATTAAAACGTTTAAATGTATTTTAAAAATGTAGAAAGTAAAACTCGAATTCTTAAAATTAAGAAGTCATGCTTTGATAGCCAGACAAAAGCACTTGGTCTCATTAACAGTAATTCATTTTCAAATGTAGTAAATAATTGTTTGAAAATTCATCTACCTGCCTGTACTTTTTCTAAATACTACATCGTTTACAGTATGGATTTTGTGAGACGTAAGATAATACCACCGCATATTTCCTAATAGCTGTTTTACATTGACAATTTATTGATTAATTAATTGATGAAGTCGCTTCATCAAGAAATTGGACGAGTGTAATGCACCAAATCAGCTGTCAAATAACTTCATCAATTTATTCATCAAGTTCTTGACGAATTAGAGCATGTTCTAATTTTCGTCAATTTCTTCGTGAAGTTCGGAAGTATCAACCCAATATGTGTCAGAACGGTACCGGTGTTGTATCACTAAAATTATGAGTGGAAAGGTGAAATTTTTGAAATTTATTTGCTTCTTTGATTCATTGGTAGAACTGATTCATACGTCAAAAAACTTGACAAAGTCTATAGCAGTGTAAAACCACACTGTTTGCCAATAAATTCGTGAATTAATTGATGAAGAACTTCGTCAATTTATTGATGAATAAATTGTCAATGTAAAACAGCTATAATAGAAATAGAAGAATCCCAAATCATCAGGTATTTGCTTCAACCTTCCGAAGATTGAGTGAGCTTGGTATTTCGAAGCTCAATTAGCTGAGGCAGCGCAGAAACAAAATGTTGCAGATCAAGAAGAAGCTGTAATTGATGCAGTCTTAGATAATCCTACTACAATTACGCAACGAATTTCTATGCAGTTAGAATTTTCATAAAATTTTGTTTCGCGGACTACACAGGGAGCTATTACTAGTACACACTAACTACTATACAGATGTGCAAGTTGTCCATCCTAGAAATGCCGAGCAACGTTTTTGTCAGTGGCTTGTTAGAAGGATAAACGACGATCCTAATTGTATTTCGTCTATTTTATGAATTGATGAAGCGATGAAACTTTATCACTATTCATTAGACAATCCACACGTTAAAAGAAGTAGAAGATTCCAACAACGATGTTCTATCAATCTGGAATGGTGCTTTACTGGAATTGCAAGCAGTCAATAACCACATGAACGCAAATGGTTACAGAAATTTTCTTGAGCAACATCTTCTGCATGATATACTCGTACTTGAGGACATCCCATTAAATATTAGACAACAAATGTTCTTCCAACACGATGGTGCACCTCGCCCCAATCGCAGATTCGTTACAGAGTGGCTAAATAATGACTTTATTGGTAGAATGATTGATCACTTTGGTCCTGTGAGAATTTTATCCTATATTGTTTTAAAACATCGTTTTATTTTAGTATCGCCAAGAGCGGATTCCAGAGAGTATTTAAGGGCGGGGGGTTGATTGTATGGTAGAACATTTTTAATCAGAAATTTTCAATCTTTATTTGTTAATTCTTTGCTTAAAAACAAAGTAACAAAGAAAGTAAAAGTCACATCAATGAGAAAATTCTTGTCGATGCTTTTTTCGGTTCACATCTCATTCATATTTTTTCAGTTTATAATTTCTTTGGAGTATGGAGGCTTTTAAGGTTTATTTTTATGAAATGAATGGCAAAAAAAATCGGAGCCTTGGGGAAGACGATTTATAGAGTTATAAATATAAAATGTAAATGCTCTAAGCTCCTAAATCCATTATTTTGTTTTGGCAAGAACCAGTTTCGATTAAATTTTTTACACTTAATTATGACTGGGTGAGTACAACGCAACCAAAATTTATTTTTCACAAAACGAGCGAATTACGAATACTGACACATTTAACTATGATGCCCTTTGTAATAGCTCTCATGTAAAATTTAATTACGGCATAACAGTAGAATTAATGGAGCTGAAATTTTAGTGAGATCCGATATTTGTATCCGGTTTGTAATGATTATCAGTGTGTTTTCAAATCGTCCTCATTGTTGTGCTTTTATAATGCACATGTAGTACGATGGTAGTGTATCTATTTGGTAATAGTATTTTAATCGATTCTTCTTAGAGGGAGGGAAATAAAAAACAAATATACGCTTCCCACACTAACTGTACGTATTAAAAAGATCAATAGCGTTTTACGTTTCATTTCCGAGAAAAATATAGCTTTGATACAAAAACGAATGATAAAATAAATAATAAATAAAACAAATAGAAGAGTGAAGTAAAAATACCACCGAGGCACTATTTTCAATTCCTGAAACTAAAATTCAAGAGATATTTAGGTATTTCGAAATTTCAGACTATAACTGTTGATCAACATTACCTAATATCGTTCATATAATCTAATTATTAATTCTGAGTTATTTTGAATATGAGGACTGAATACCAAATTCTACATTAATATTAGGATTACAAATGTTTCATACATAAGGTGCGTTCCAAACTAAACAGGACTTTTTTTCAATAAGAACAACAAACAGTTTTTTGGCAAAACTGATTTGCTTTATTCAAAATAGTCCCCTTCCGACTCAATACAGCGATTTGCTCATTTGTCGATAGAAGCCTTTTGGATAGCTTCTACGTCCACAAAGCGATTTTCAGTATAAAAAAAGTCGGTCACAAGTTTAGTGTCAATCGATGAGATGGCGCATTATCGTACAACAAACGCTAACTTCCTTCTGCACGATATTCTGGCCGAATACGACAAATACCTACAATGCACCAAACGCTTCAAAACGCCGAGGCAGAATTGTGCATTAACGGTTTGGCCCAGTGGAACGAACTCTTTGTGACCAATGCCCTTGGAATCGTAAAAGCAAATCAACATTGTCTTCACTTTTGACTTTTCCAAACCAGATTTTTGGAGTTTTGGCTGGTCTGATGATTTCCACTCGACACTTTGGCGCTTGGTTTCTGGATCATATTGAAAACACCGCATTTCATCACCAGTCACAATGTTGTAAAGGACGTTTTTGTCTTTTTTTGACCCCCTTGATGATGTTCATCGAATGTTGACTTCTGCGCAATTTTTGGTCGCCAGTCAAATTGTGCGAAACAAAAAGTGCACAAACTTTTCTGTAGCCCAAATGTTCCACCAAAATGCGATAAATTGATGTTTTTGCGAAATTCAATTTCAATTCCAAGAATTTCAATGAAGATTTTGGGTGTGCACAGTTTTGATGAAATCTGGGGTGATCACAGATTTCGGTTGTCCATGTTACTCATCATTTACGTCTCCACGATAGTTTTTAAACAGCATATACAACTCATGAACTTTGCCAAATGATAAACATTCATCACCATAAACTTGGTTCATCAATTGAATTACCAAGTTAAAAACAAAAATTAATATTGGCTTCGATGGTTCGATGCTCATTTTTTTGTGCCGATGACACAAACATACTGTCACTTCACACGCAATAAGTCCGCTTCTATTGGTCCTAATGTCATGAAATTATGAGTGTGTCATTAGAAATACACAATTTTGAAAAATAATGTTTACTATTTTGTTCTTAGGAACAGAAGTGAATATATTGATGAAATATTTGTTGAGTTTTATTGGCAAATCATATCGCTTATCAAAATTTGCAAGTACTTGTCTAATCATTTTTCAGAAAAAAATCAAAAGGTAAACAAAAACCATTATTTCTTTATTAAAATAACTACGAAAGAATATGTTTCACATTATATTTTTTTCAATATTTAGAGTAGTGTAGTTAAGAAGGCAATAGGTAATAAATATATAAATTGTTCAATGGCGGCAAAAATATTATTTATTATTGTTATATCTGTTTGCTAAAAAAATGTAACCTTTACATCTGAGTTAGAGCGAAATATTCGTATAAATAATGTATATACTTGTAAAATGTAAATGTAAAATGTAAAATGTATAATGTAAAATTGTTAGATAGGTAGATGCTTATTAGGTACCTACATACAAAAATGATAATACAAATAGCCAGAACTAATACCAAGCACATAAAACACATTTGTGATGGAACAATGGAAACAAGTGACTTGTAACTTCACCCAATATTGCACCTGTCCATAAACAGAGGATAAGCGGTTTTATCTGATAGTTCAGTTTGTATTAAACCTAGATTCCATATTTTTTGTACAAAACGAAAATAGTACATTTTTAAATCTATATCTGCAAAAACCTCATTTTTCAACTTAACTTCAAACCATCACTTTTATGTTTCATACAGAGCAATATTTTGAGAATAAATCATTTTTACCTTTATAAAAAATAAGTTATCGAAATGCTGCAAATAACATCAGCGTTTCATAGTAAACAATCTTCAATTGGTTTCGAAATAATGTTTACTTATAATTAAAGATATCGTAAAAAAACTGTTTTAAGGTGAACTTTGGGGGTGATTTTTATTCCATCAACTTGTTTATATGTACATGGAAAATATTCTTTTATTTTATCACTGGAAATTTACAAATTTTCATAAAACGACGAAAAAGTAATTCGACATTATCCGCTGCTATACATATTTGAAATACAAATAACAAAATCTAAAATTATAATGATGAAAAGTGTGTTACATCACTTTTTGAATATGTAAGAAAAAGTTGTATAATGATAAAGTCAATATTATTTTGTTTAATACTTAATTACAAAATGAAATGGTTATCATTCTTAATATCAATGTTTAACAAATGATTGATCAAAATAAACAAACAGTGACTTAAATAAAAATTAATTTAAAAAAGTTTGAAACATCGATAAATAAAACAGGACAAAACAAAATAATTTCTAAATGCTCGAAAAGCTACTTAACATATAAAATTGCATATTGCACTTACAGTGTGGCTGTCCAAATCACTTCATTAACGGGGCTAAATTGCGATGTACCCAGCACATCTGTGTACTGAAAACTAATTCAGGGACACTGAAAAAACGATGTGAAGTCAACTTTCCGCGCTGTCGTGTAAATTGTGATGGGGGTGAGGTGTCCTGACGTGACAGAGGCAATCTTCAGAGCTATCAAAGGCCAATTACGAGAGTATTGCACCAAATGAATAACAGAAATTATAATTAACAACTAGCCGGCGTCGACGTCCCATGTATCAATGCACATGAGCATCTACCATAAATTTTTCGTCGGGTGAATGCGCTTAAATATTCTTTGAAGTGCCTACAATGAGATTTTTTTCTAGCCGCAGCTAATTTTTTAACTATTCCAGGTAAATAGGTGCCAGCTACTACCGAAGTCTAAGGAGTTTGCTAAGAGAGCTAATTTTTTTCTATACAGCGATGCAAACGCTGGAATGTACTTTTTCGGAGCTTTAAATATATTTTCTGTGAAGAAAAACAAATTCGTCTTGCGTTAACAGTGTTATAGACGTATAACAGTAGGTAATGAGGTTTTATATACAGGGATGGCCAGAAGTACGGAATAAAATTCATATCTTTTGAATGAGTTAATTTTTTTTAAAACGCCGAAACAGGTTGATTTTGATTTTTTCCCATCTTTCGGTTATATAATAATTAATTTTTCTTCAACCCCCTAACCCCCAGCTACCCCTACTTTTTTTTTCAAATGGAAACATAAGGCATGAGGGGGCTCGTTGAAAAGCTTATAGAAAACCGAATCCAGCCATACCAAATAAACAAGTTTTATTTTTTCAATAACAAGTTTTTTTCATCTAGAAATTGAAACAACCAGATAATTTACAAAAATAAACTCAATGTCGCAAATGCTGAAAATGTCCTCCATTCACTATTTGGCATTCTCCAAGACGATAGTAAAAGCTGTCCACAGCATTCTGAATGACTTCAGCTGGTAAATTATGCATATCCGCCCTAATCTTGTTCTTTAAATTCTCAATATTATCCGGTCTGTCCTGGTAGACTCTTTCTTTCAAATATCCTCAAAGAAAATTATCCAGGGGTGTTAAGTCGGGGGATCTTGGCGGCCATTCAACTGTACCCCGTCTACCAATCCAGCGATTTGGAAACATTTCATCTAAGTATCTTCGAACATCAATACCAAAATGTGGGGGAGCGCCATCTTGTTGGAACCAAATTCTTTCATTCGGTATATCTGGATCAATTTCATGAGGGAAAATCACAGCTAGAGCAGGTATCAGGTCAAATGTTAGGAAATCCAGGTAGCGTGCGGCAGTAAGATTTTCTTCAAAAAAGAATGG